GGGTAGCTCACACGCTGCTACCCTCAGCACAGGCTGCAGAAGGGAGAAGACAGATGCTGCCGGACCCTTAGAAGCTATTTAATAAATATCATCCAAAAAACAAAATGGAAAAATAAACCCTCCAGAGCACAACCACCTTAGGTCAACTGAATATAATCTAGTTTATTCAACCAAAAATTGAGAGAGAAGGAAAAGTATCGAAACAAACAAAAAAAGAGAAGCAGTTCTTAAACACTAGCAGTAAATAAATTTATACAACAATTCAGTCTGTATAATATGATGAAATAAATCTACATCTTTTCTTATTTTGGTGCTTTGAATTATACATACAAACAATTACAGGGACTTGTTCACAAAGCATGTGGGCCTAGAGAAGGACTATCGGACACCAGCGATGGCAGATGGCATTTGCGAGCGTTAACACTGATTGCCCGGAACCGATAGACACTTCCTTTGCAGAGGCCCACAGCTTTGAACGAATGATTCGCCTACGACTTTTTTCTTTTCTTTTTTTTTTTGCTTTTTTCTTTTTTCTGTTTTTTTTCTTTTTTTCTTTTTTGTTTTTTTTTTTCTTTTAATGCATCAAACAGCTGTGGCCAGTGAAAGGAAACAAAACTGGCAGTTTGTCCATTTGGATATCAGACCTAGTTTCTTCTTAATCCCATACTTTATTTTCCCCCATATTCCTTAAACTTCTTGGCATCCTTCATGCCTGACAGCTACCCAGATGCAATAGAGTCTTCCTCAAATGTACAGTATTTCTTACAATATAAGTTATATGCAATGTTCAGCATTTTTTTTTTCACAGCACTAGAGACCCTGTTAAATAGGGGATGAGAGTCTGAATGGCTTATTCACAAATGGGACCCAGATTCGGTGGTCGGAACACAGACACCACAGCGAGCTCCTTTGCAAAGTGGCAAACATCATTTTGCTTTCTGCCTTCGAAAACGTATATCCATGGCCTTCGGGCTTCATGATACTGCTCCTGCACAAATGCAAGTCGAAGGGGCTTCGGGGACTCCCGCGTGGAGCCCGGTGAGCGTCGAGCAGGCCTCTAACCCATGGCGGTGACCATGCTGGAAGGATGGTGAGGTCCGAAGGACAGGCTGGACGGCGGGTGCATGGGCGTGGGTGTGGTCAGCATGTGGCTGGAGTGGCTGAAGGGCGAGATGTGGCTCAGGGAGGACATGTGTCTGGAGAGGGCGGCCGGGTTAAACGAGCTGTTCTTGGGGAAGTCCTCCAGCGTGTCGTGCACCTTTTTGCACTTTTTCGATTTGCTAGACATTTTCCGGTTTCTGGTCTGGATGCCTTCCTTCTTCATGGTCAGGGGTCTGTTAATCTAAACAAAGATCAATTTTTTTTTTTTTTTTTACTTTCATGCTGTCTCTGAAATGCACGCGCTCTCGCACACCGACACGCGTTCCACCAGCCGCCCCAGATTGGGGATCCGTTTTGGTTTCAGAGGGCCCCTTGCTCCCTCCCACTGTCTCCTGCCTCCTTCCCGGGGACCAAGTAACTCAGACAGATCTAGTTACCAGTCGAGAGACCCACCTAGCATGATTGCATTTCTCCGGTAACTCAAATAGAATAACTTGTCTTATTTCTTGAGAATTTCCTTAGACTATCGCAAGAGAGGAGGGGCTACTGAGGAATCTTCGAGAGGGAAATACCATTTTGTCTACTCCTCTGACAAATCGGTTTCAGAACTTTAAAAGCGCTGCCAAGGTAATCAATCTTCAGGTGTTTAAGTCTATCTGCCTGGGAGGAAATGGGATTGGACGGCTCTGCGGAGTCATTTGGGGGTTGCCTTTCTTCCACGTAGGCCTTTTCACAATGACAGGTGCCGTAGTAAAATCTTCTCCTGGAATTTAGGGGTTCCAGGGTTGTACTTTAAGAAAACACGCCTTCCCAAAAAGTAATCCCTTGCCTGAGTCACTCCAGCAGCAGCTGCGATGGTTGAAAGCTGCTATTTCTGCCTAGTTCTAACTCTTCCCTTCCAACAAGACAAACAGCCAACCAACCAGCATTTAACAACCACTTTTGGGGTGCGAAGATTGTGTTAGCGTAGAAGTACGCTCTTCCTAAAAAGTAAAGACCAAGAATGAACTAAAGAGAGAGAGGCCAGGCCCTGCTCTCAAATTCACCAGACTTCAATCTCCGAGACAGCTACCACTTTTCTCTTCTTCACAAACCTCATTTGTCTTTTTAAAATACATCAGCTGGAGGGAGGCGGGCCGGAATCAAGACAGGGGACTTTACAAAGTGCACAGAAGCTGGTCCCCACCCAGAGTGACATTAACCCGACTGAAGAGCAGACACCTGCCCCAAAGAGCAAACTGCACACCATGACCGCCTGGGGTGAAAACGCCCCCCGTTTCACCCTGTCGAGAACCCTCGGCTCTGGGCTCCACCTGTCTGCCTCCAAAGCTAGAAAATGATGGTTGAGAAAGGAAGAGTTCAAATGGCCAAGAGGGACCAGGTTGCTGAGAGTAGCTGGGACAGCCTGTCTGGAGAGGGGAACGGAGCCCCAGGCTGCAGCTGCGACCGTGCCAGGAAGACAACATGACCGACTGACGGCAGAAGAGCTGAGAAAGGTCACTCACTGCCAGGGAAACGTCTCAGGGTTCCTCCTTCAAAGTTATCCTGCAGATAAAGCAGCAGCCTGTAGAGATGACAGGAATCTACTCCCACATCAAATCTTCCCCAAGATAATGTCTAGATACACAGCCCTGGCCGCCACCGATATCTAGATACACATAGCCAGATATCTAAATATAATATCTAGTTACACCGATAGCCACACAACCCCAGGTAACTAGTCACAACACCACCTAGATACACTGATGCCGAGATAGGCAGTTATCTAAACACCTAGATAAGGAGAAAGGAGCTCGTGGCATCCCCGTATAGATATCTGGATGGGCAGGGCGATGAAAACGTTCACAGATCAGTATCTCTTATTGTTGGATACACATAAATCGCCTGCTTTCCTGAGGTCCTACTAAGCCAGAGGAGACAGGAAAAAAAACCACTCTTGGGGATGAGGAAGTTTCTCTCTCCTAATTGCCAGAGCACAGCCAGGAAGACCGAGCTAATTAACGGCAGCGTGGGAGTGAGCAGTGGAGGGGATGCCTTGGCTTTTCTTAAGATTTGAGAAATTCATATTCTTCAGAAATTATATCTATATATATATATATGTTTAAATCAGACACAAGTGGGATCACATCTCAGCACAGCGAACAATTTAAAAAAAATGTATAGCTAGCTAATTTCCCCAATTCCTGTACTTCCATGGAAATAAGAAATACATATGCATGCACAAGTCACTACAATTTTGTTGTGTTCTAAAATAAAAGAGTGCTTACTTTCCAACAGTTTGCCTTAGTCCTGCCACTACTGACCTCCCAGGAAAAAGCCTCCTGGACCCTTGGAAATCCATTTTGACTCTTCTACTTTATCAGCCACGCTACCTTGCTCAAGTTACTCCCTTTACTCAGGCATAATTTCTTCATGTAAAACCGAAATAAAAATCATTTCTGCCCTGTCTACAACAGGGACTATCTGGGGCTCTGATGTAATCAAGTACCACGAAAGTTCTTTGAAAGCCATAAATTACAGCCCCCAAAATAACTTCATAGGCAGTGCTGATGACTGGTGAGCTAATAAACTCTAACGCCCCAAACCTTCCAGATTTCAATCATGAATCTCTATCTCTACTGCAGTCAGCGAGCGAATTCCCCAAAGTGAAAACAGAACTTGGATTTAGCTGCTGATAAACGTTACATAGCCACAGTCCCAGGAGCCCAGGGAGAACACGGAATCGTAGCAAGACTCTGGTTTCATTAGCGCTGGGCACTTCACCAGACCGTGTCAAAAGAAGATGAGGGTAGAGGGTCCCTCAGAATCACAGCAACTTGTTCCCAAAAAGCGAATACAGAGTAGGGTGCCGGGGTCAACCTTGAGAAGTTCTCTGTGACTCAAAAAACTCTAACCAGAAAAGCTCCTCCCCAACTCCCAGGAATCCTGAGTAAGAGGAGTTCTTGCCAGAACCGCCCCAGGCAGAAGTCTCTGTACCTCCTCCCTGTTTGGTCCCAGATTGTGCCAAAGTCATGTTGGCCAAGAGACTTTAGGAGAATCAGAAAGCGCCAAAAAGGAAAGAGAGAGAGAAAGAAAGAGAGAGAGAGAGAAATGACCATTTTTTCTTTGGGATTAACGTAAACTTGAGGCCACTCTAGGGCCATGGCCTGTTAGCCAGAATTGTTTCAGGAAAAAAATAACCTGAAAAAAATTTCTTTTAAGATGAAGATATTACAAAATAAGAAGACCCGGAGTTGAAAGATTGCAAATGACGCAGCTAGAGCCAGGTGACTGGCAATTGTCACACTGCTAATGGTACATAGAAGAAGAAAAAGACAGGGTTGCTGGGATAGCCTCCCCCGCCACTTGGCTCAGGAGTTCTCCCCACGTGAAAGCTAGTTTGGACAAAGACATCTCGCTGAAATCTCTCACACTTTCATTCCCTGTCTTTCCTACAGAGACTCCATTTAACATTCATAGCACACGGTGAGGCGAGACTTTTGACCCCTCAGCGGCTGAAGGGTTCCTCTCGGTTTCAGAGTCCCTGCGCGCCCCACGCCACAATTCTACAAGCTTTTCCTCTTTCCCTCTCTCCCTAGCTCACGCTTTCTCTTTTTGCAAAAAATTTAAAATGCAAAGAAACAACAGAACAGAACCAGTGACTTTTTTTCTTTTTGCTTTCCAAGGGGAAGATTTTTTTTTTCCCTTCAAAACCCAGACAGTCCCACCCGGCATTCGGGACTCCCGCAGCACGCGTGGTGGTGTCCCATACATGCCACGGGGCTGCGGTGCTGTGTCTTCCAACCCCCTCCACCCCAGCAAGGCTACGCCAGACAAAATAGTTTTCCAAACTAGTCCTATTGCATAGATCATGTGAGGCCTGTTATTTGGCCCCAAGGTGGGCAATTCACCCTGATCAGGCGGTCTCCAGGGACCAGTGGTGATGCTGCCTACTGGGCGTTGTCAGGAAGGGTCCCCACCTGGCGGGTCCCAGTGCCACTTACATTGTGCAGCTTGTAGTAGAGCCCGCAGGCGTTGCAGACAGGGTCCCCGTTGGCATTCCTCCTCCAGAGCGTGGTCGTGGTGGTCTGACAGTTTGCGCAGGACGTCCCTGCTCTCCTGGCTGCAGACTGGGAGTGGGGAGAGAGAGGATAAAACCAAAACAAACGTTAAATGTGTTGTCATAACTACGGAGACAGGCTTTAAAAAAAGAAAAAGAAAAAAAGGAAGGAAGAATTATCACTGAAATCAAAACTAGCAAGTGGCCCACATGAAAGTAATAAAGATCCCCAAAAGCTGCCTTGAGAAGAAAAATGTCACCAATCCACTGGATAGGAGGGTATCAGAGCACAGAGTTCTACCTGCCACTCACCAGGGCAGAACTCGCAAGGATGGGAAAGCCAAGGCCACCTCCCTGGGAATGTTATCTCCCTACCCCTGTCTCACGAAGTGCACTGGAGGGTTAGTTTTCACGGGTGGCAATTTTTAATTAGTCCTACTAGTTTGGGTACCATTCAGTCTTGCCTTATTCAGCAGGCCCGGGGCCACAAGAGGTCTTTTTCAGGCCCAACTCCCAAGAATATTAATCCTCAAACCGGCTCCCGGCTATCCGGATACACTAACAGCAAAAGAACAAACCCGAGCTTCCAAAGCACTGTGTAGATCCCAAATAAAGAAACACCGGGTTATAAAGAGAAGCAGGCGCGAGCACAACGCTAAATCGTTCTCCGGGAGGATGTCCGTGCCTGTGTGTGGCATACACTCGTGGCTGGCGTAACCCAGCAGGCACCGGGCAGGACACCCTGAGTCAACAAGACCTTGTCGCATTTGCAACACGGTCCTGCATTTACACAGCCTGCGCTCTCAGACTCGGTCACTTGCCATTCACGGGACAGCCACCCTCAGTCCCTTTAGGTGGCTGTCAGTTAATGAGACAAATTCAAAAGAACAAGTAATTTCGCTATTCAACAGAAACCCTGGCCTCCCCGCCTCCTCTGGTCTCGTGTCGCCTTCGTGAAATTAGGTATTTCCTATTAGCTGTTCCCCGAGTAGAAGAGTTTGCAGTTCAAATATCAGCCTCCACGTGAATTTTTATTCCTTGGTTGTGTTACAGCCTTCATTTCCTTCAAAAGGCAGATTTTTCTCTCACTTTTTGACACATTGAAATTGGTCAGGGGACTATTCTCTAGGTGCACACTTAAAAAAAAAAACAAAACTCAAAAACTGTCGAAAGATAATGGAGTTGAGTCACTTCTAATACACACCTCCCTTTCCTCCTCACCTTCCACCATGGAAAGAAAATTTTAACTGCAAAGTTATTCCTGCTTCTGGACTGAAAAATATTATCGAGCAAAAGGCAAGAGGAGGAGACAGAATTTAGCTAGTCTTTATCTGTGATGAAGAAAATTCCGGTACGGTTCTAAGAACGTTGCATGGGGACTACAAGGACCCTGGTGCACTTTGCTGTTAATATTTTATTGAGCAAAAAGTTGGACCAAACACCCAAAGCTGCCAGATATGAAAACCCAGGGGCGATTTTGAATTAACCAGACTGATTCCTTTCCTTTCAAAGCCACTGGCATTCCACAGACAGGCTCCTATGGGCTCTAAACAACAGAGTTATGACTTTTTTTAAGTAATTTCTTTCTTTTCTGTATTCTAAGAAAATGGAAATTAAAAATAGTCCTGATCTATCATAACGGAGAAGGTTCTACTTTTTTGCTGCCCGTTTTGAAAATCATTCACCAGTCCAAGAAAGCTGATTCCAACGCCATAGGCCTACGCCTACCTGCCTTCATGAAACGTGATCATTTAATTCTTAAATAACTGTTTCCCTTGTGTACTCTTGGAAAGAAAGTGCTGCATACAACCAGTGCTTAATGATTTTGACAATTACATGATATGTGATTATTATTACCTTCATATAGTCTTTTTTTCCTTTAAAATAAATCCTCTGATAGAGTAGACTAATATCTACCCACGCATCTGGATTTCCCAGCCCAGCAATTTAGAATGTGTAGGACGTCCACATAACACCAACTGGTAAGATTAGAACTCCAGCGGAGGGGGCTCTCTAATTCTCAGCATTACACTGACAGTCACATAAATAAATCCAAGCAGGTTCAGAATATATTCCCAGTGCTACAGACTTTACGGGAACTGACACAGAGTCTCTTAAAGCCGTGCTGTTTGGTTCCCTAGCAGAAGGCAGAGTATTTAATAGAGCAAGCTGCTCCGACTTTTGCTAGTTGTGAGACATGAAAATCCTGGCAACGTCAGAGGGGAGGAAAAAAAACTGAATGGATCTTCCCTTAGGTTATCTCTTCTATTTCCTGCATGAGTTTATTCAGCGTTAGATATGCATCTCAGGGAAGAGCTACTACGTTATGGGCTGGGTGGTCTTCAGTGCATCTGCAAATGTATCAGACAAAAATAGCAAACTGAAAAGATGGAGCTGGGGTGAAGGACTAGGGAATACAGGAAAGAAAAAACAAAACGTTCTAGGTGTTCAAAAGTCAAATATAGGCCGGGCGCAGTGGCTCACGCCACTCTGGGAGGCCAAGGCGGGTGGATCGCTCAAGGTCAGGAGTTCGAGACCAGCCTGAGCAAGAGCAAGACCCCCGTCTCTACTAAAAAAAGAAAGAAATGATCTGGACAACTAAAAATATATATATAGAAAAAAAAAAATTAGCCGGGCATGGTGGCACATGCCTGTAGTCCCAGCTACTCGGGAGGCTGAGGCAGGAGGATCCCTTGAGCCCAGGAGTTTCAGGTTGCTGTGAGCTAGGCTGACGCCACGGCACTCACTCTAGCCTGGGCAACAAAGTGAGACTCTGTCTCAAAAAAAAAAAAAAAAAATCTGAATGTGTCCTCCCTGTAGTATATGAATTCTATAGAACTAAAAATATCAAAGCACCCAGGACAGATGATTCAGAAAGAACAGACGGCTTAAAATGTGACAGCCAATGAACTCTAGAATTAAAAGCAATTATTACTCAGAGTTCTAGAGATTTCCTATGAAAGGTGAGTGAAGACAAAATTATGTAAAATGGAAGTAGAACCCTCCTCTGCAATCTGTACAGACAGAAGGAGAAAACCCAAGAAAATGTCAGATGAACTGGTGCTCATCCATCAGCTCACAGTTTGAGATTTTTAACCCTTCTTTCTTCATTACTTTTGCCCTTAAAAAAAAAAAAAAAAAACTATGATGGTACCATGACATATTTTAACAAGAAGGTTTTTGTTGTTAGTTTTTTTTTTTTTTTTTTTTTTTACTAAGGCCAGGTTTTGAGTGATTCAAAACATTCTTTTGTGGTGTGATCATATTCATTCTGTGCTAACACCTCCAGCCATTTTTTTTTTTTCCAAACACTTCTTGTTCTGATCCGTTCAAACATCTCGGTGTTTAGGTTGGGGAAGCTGAGTTGTTGTTTATGAGTTATCTCCAGTGCTCAGATATCCGGCAGCTTTTTCCTAGGAAGTTAGCTTTGCACATGAGAGAAAGGAAGAAAAAAAAAAAAATACCAAAGTGTATGAGAAGTGGGGGAAGGTTGAGAAAGTTGGAGAAAGGGGCAGAGATCAGGGAGAATGAATCCTGGAGATCCATGGTTGCCAGAAATTAAAGTCATGTGGGCACTTCCATCCCTAGAAAGTTTTTCCTTCTTCTAAGAGGGATGTGAAAGGTGTTGAGTTGCAGCCATAATCTGATGGGGAGGACAACTAATTCTTTAAAAAGAACACAGGATGGTTGTGGTGTGGTTTTTTTTTTTTTCCTCCCATAGAATGGGATGGATGCTAATTCATCCATTAATCTGCCTGGGGAAACGCCCCTCCTCGAGTCTCTGCCTGGGTGAATGTCAGCACCCCCAAAGGCATTTTGATCTCTGGACTGCGGTTAGCTGTTACTTCTCTGTTACAGACACTCACTGTTCAACGGGCCTAAGGTTCCAAGGACAAGCTTCCGAATGGACCTCTCCTGCTAGTTTTCCCTATAAATGCTTGACACAGCCAGGTTTACTCAAGGATTCCTAATGGTCAAAAGTTTTACAAAGAAAAAAAAAAGAAGGGGAAAAAATAATAAAACCTATCACCCTCTTCATAGGAGTTCAAAGAGAAAACAAGATCAAATGCTAGGTCAGACTGCAGCAAGACGGGACTCACAAGACTGTTCCCACAGGAATTGCCAGTGGAAGGTCCACAGTGCTAGGACCAGGAAAGAAGGAAACGTTTGCTGGGCTCAGTAGAGGCTGCTGCGTCTGAAATTCGTCTCACCCGTCCCGTCTATCTTAAAGCATCAGTAGAAGAAATCAGCACTGAGCCAGTGACCCTTCCTCGGAGACCACATGCCACCACCTCGGGAACATGTTCTAGATGGTTCCTAGGACAGGACACCCTCGTACTAAATTCCTCTTTCTGTGAAACAGTGATTATCGAAGCATGTTGAATCAGCCATCCTGGTCTCGTTAACGCAGTTGTTATATTAGGGTCTACGTTGCAGATTTGACAACCAAGAAGTCAGCATCTTTAAAGATCTATGAAGTGGCTTAAAAGACATGGAGAGGAAAAAAAGAGAGAAAGCTTTTCTGTATATCTAATTTGCAAAGCAAAAAGAAACTGTCCCAAGCAAGCTGACACGATTTTGAGCCGTCCTGCCAATTTCCTGAAAAAGGCTGTCCCTTCCTGAAGACAGGAAATGAAAAACACAAAACGGGTGGCAAGGGGTCAGTCCTCCCCAGCGAAACTCACCAGCCTCCGCTTGGGCTTGATGAGGGGCCGGTTCTGTCCGTTCATTTTGTGGTAGAGCCCGCAGGCGTTGCACAGGTAGTGCCCGGTGCCGTCGCGCCGCCACAGTGGGGTGGAGGTTGCCCCGCAGTTCACACACTCCCTGCCTTCTGGAAACAAAACCACAGATAAGTCACTAATGGCAGGAGAACACACAGGGAAGGCGACAGCATTTGGAATTTGGGGAGCAAAGTCAAGTTGGGGACTTTTTCCTTTCTTCCTCCACTTTTGGGGACCATCCCATCCCCACCTCCTTCTAAGGGGCTTCAAAGTGGAGCAGAGTGGCTGCCATGCCTGGCACGACCCTCCCTGGGACACAAGGGACAGAGGCATCCGCAGCCAAAGAGCCTTATTCCTGGCCTGGATGAGGAAGACCAGGCCGACCAAGGAGGAAGGCAGATTCCAACCCAAAACACTTCCCTGAGAAAATTCTGAGCCTCGGACGGTGGCAAAAGCAAAACACGCCATTCATTTCCCTCAAAGGAAAAAAAGAAAAACAGAGATGACCCATTATCATCAGTAGGTCTGTCTATATAGATTGATTAAATAATGAAGATTAGGATCGGGGAAAGGAAAGATTAATCAATGGCTAGATAGATAAACAGACAATAAATAGACATATCGATTGATCAATTGGCTGATTGATCTGAGTAGCTAGGGCTTTAGATTTTACTTTAATCAAACTGTACATGTCCCTAGCTGGAAAGGAAGAGATTAGGACCCAGCAGGGATTTCCATAGCTTTCCAGACAGGGTTACAAGACTGAAGCTAAACTGTGACCCCAGCCAGGGGTTGCTGGGGGGGCGGAGGGGAGTAGGGAACCCAGAAAGGAGGGAGTGGGCAAGAGGGGATGGGTTGGGAGGACAGCGTGGGGGCTCTCCGTAGGCTCCTTAACCAAGGCCTGCCTGCAGTTTCTCTTTTTCCAAAAACACAAACAAACAAAATAAACAAAAAACCGGCCAGGCAGGGTTGGGTTCCTCTGGGCAGCATTCACCACCCAGACCCACCCCCAGCAGGTTCCTTGGAAGAATCCCTTAAATGACCATTTTAGGACTGGGGCAGTTTGCTAACTGATTTCATGCTTTTCTAGGAGAATCTCCTCGCTTTGGGGAGGAGCAGAGGGCCCACCCACCCAGTTCTCTTGGTGTATGGGAGGAAGCCCTCGACTCAAGGTGGCCCCCCAGGAGGGGAGGCCCAGAAGAAGATACTGGAGGGTGAGCAGGGGAGAGAGATGAGCCCTGAAGATTGTTTTGTTTTAAGAGATTAATCAACCACTCACAACCTAGGAGGAAGACTGGAGTAGGGAGAAGAGAACCTGCAAGGGGCCTTACGAATTCTGACTCCCCTAAAGGAGGAGAAGTCTGCCTTGGCAGCTCTGGGACCTACAGGGCCTTTGGAAACCCCCTGAGCAAGTATGAGGGAACTGGTGGGGTCCCACTTGCAAGCCTGTGATCAATAGGAAGCTAAAGACTTTTGCAAATACGAGAGGGTCTTGCCTCCACCTCCATTAGAGTCAGGGTTGGTGCTGAGTAGTTTTAATCTACTTTGCTTTTTCAAAAAAATTTGGAGAAGCTAAGAGAATTTTTTTTTTCCTCCAGATTCCAAAAAGGTTCTTAGCCTGGGGTCTCCGGAGGAGAGCCTTCTGTCCAAGAACCCCTATGATTATACACAAACACATCGCACTGGTGAGCCAACAGCTCTTCTCAAAAAGGCTTTGGACTGAATCATACCCAGATACCTTAGCTGGGGTCAGAAGCCTGAGGGAGGTGGTAGACTGGATGTGGGAGAGGTGCGAGGGGAGGCGCAGGGCGAGTGGGCGAGGAGAAGCCACCTGCCTACAGCCCAGCCAGGAGGCAGCCAAGTGGGCACCACGTCAGCTGAGGCTGCAGGCCCACTCCCGGGCCTGCCCAGACAGGGGCCAGCCAGGCTCACCTCCCCACCCCAGTTAGGCACAGGGCAGGGGGCTGTGTGAGGCTTTGGTGGCTCCAGGCACCCTAAGCCGGCACCCTAAGCCAGCACCCTGGCACTGGGGGACCTCCCAGCCTGACACAATCAGTCTGATTTCCTTTCTTTTGCAGGGCGGCGGGGAGGATGACAGCTTCCGTTTCAGAGGGACCTTGAAAGCTAGCAATGGTTACCTCTTCAACAAGGCTCTGCACACTAGGGCAATTTTCTGTCTTGATTCACTCGGCAAGTTTGCGACCGCTTTGTGTGGGCTTTTCTTTTTCTTTTTTCCTTGTTGCCTCTGGTCTATGACTTCAGCAAACAGCCAATTTTCCTAATGGAGGCCCCGACTCCCTCCTGCGTCCTCTCCTCCCCTCTCCTCGCCCCCTGCCTGCTGCGAACGGCTCTGGCAGACACCTCTCTCTTAGGTGACAAGAACCACAGAGCTGCGAGGCCTCCTGACATTCAACAGCCATTTGCAAAGGCCGCTTGCCTGCCTGAAACGGGGCCGTGTGAGGGGGTAGGGAGCAGGGCAGGAGATTGCTCCCAGGAAGGTGGAGGGAGGTGCCCAAAGAAATGGCCCTTTGCAAAAAGGCTTTGTCTTTTGTTTGCAAAGACGGATCCCAGCCCTGGAAGCCCAGGCGTTCAGAAAGCAATAGGTGCCCTAACCACAGCTCAACCGTTTCTCCAGCGACAACCCCGAGAACCCTCTCTCTGTATCCTCCTTCAGCAAACGCATTTGCAGAGAAGAGGTTTAAAAAAAAAAAAGAAAAGAAAAAGAAAAAGAAAGAAAGAAAGAAGGCAACCACTAAAACCAAAAGAATCCCTTCCTCAAGAACTCCCACGGTGTCCACCCTCTGCACACAGGGGGACTTCTCGAAACTTCCCTCCACACTCCCAAAAGTCCCAGCTCCCTCGCTGGCCAGGTGTGCTGTTCTTGGTTTTTGCCGACTGTGAGAAAGGAATAAGGAGGAAGTAAAAGGGGCCAATTGCAATGGCCTCCTCTCTGCCTTGCCAGAAAAATAAAATAGGTGCTTACATATCCCTAGCTGCGGCTCAGGGAAACCACCTTTCCCATCCAGAGTCTTAAGGGAAGAGGTGAGAGAAGGGAAAGGGCTCAACTGAAGGCAGAAAGTGTGTACAGGAGAGCGGGAGAAATCAAACGCGGAAATGAGGGCAAAGAAACCAGAGTCTCTTGGAAAAGTCACTCTGTCCCCTCCCCCACACAAACCACGGCACCGACCTCAGATACCACGCTCTTCCCCCAGCCTCATAGCCCTACCAGAAAAGAGAAGTTTAAAAAAAAAAAAAATCCCATTATGACCCCCAAATACACAGGTTTGCCCTCTTTACGTGCAGCCCCCAGCCTGTTTTTTTTCTGGGTCAGGCTGCATCCCCATCTCCCCCCGAGCCTTCCCCTCCACCCCCAAGGCCAGCCCCCGCCAGGCACCACGGGCCACTCTCCTCCTCCCTGGCTCTCCCATCCCCTTGCTTTCTTTCTGACTCCATCAGCCAGCCTGCCTCCCTCTGCCTCCTGCCTACTTTCATGTACTGAACATGCAGGTCTGAGTTTTTCTCTCAGCCTAACCGCATCCGGACTCTATTAAAGTTCCTGGCTCGGGATAAACAATGCAACTGTCGCGTGCAGCAGTCTGAAAATAATTGGATTAGCTAAAACATATCAACTAAATAGAGACAGTCCTGCCCAGGCAGTCGGAGTGAATGTCACTCTGGAAAAAAAAAGCCCTGAAAACTGATCTCATGGTCACTGGGCTCCCAGAGCCCTCCCTCTGAAGTTTTTCAACCCGGGAGCTTTGGAAGCTCCGATTCTAGACTGCTCATCTCACCCTTAAGAGACAAGTGATTGTCACCACTGCTTGTTATATAGGATCCGTACAGAGAGAGGCAGAGGTGAGACGGGAGAGGACATAGGATGTACCTAAGGAGACATCGCAGTCTTCACAAAATCCTGTCTAAACACAGTCCCTTCTTGTCTCAGAGGATTTCTCTGTCTCTTTTGACTCAATTACTTTGATTAGAAACAAAATGGGTGATGGATTATTTTTAAAGCAAAAATATTTGGGTTTTTTTTTTTTAATACAAGGGATGACACCAGTGGGATAAATATGCAGCGTGCTGCTAGACAGGGTGCACGTTTTGGAAAGGGAGTAAGTTCAGGAAGCAGAGACACGCCTGGAGAACTTTTCCAGTCCCTTCTACCTCCCCTGGCTTCAGAGCGACAGAGGAGTATGTCCTAATAAGGCTCCCTGCCCCCGGCCCCTGCCCACACCGAGAGCTCTGGCAGAGCTGCAGGTAACTAACTGGGCCGTGAGACATTAGATTTTCATTCAACTCTGCGTCGCCAATGCAAAGCCACCTCTTTCTTCCAGAAGTTCGGCTCAGAGCCCCCTTTTCCACACAAGGAATGTGTGCTGCTTTTGCTAGTTTCTGCCCCCACCCCCCAAAATTTATATATACACACTGTATTCATACAAGTCTATATAAAGGTCTGTCCTCCTGTGTGACCCCCTCAGAGCTGAGCAGAGAGGAACAGTCAGACTGACAGAGGCCAAAGGGGTCACAGGAGGGACCCGTGTTTGTTTAGGTTTGAGGAGGTTTCGTTTTAGCATTAAACACTAAAGATTTATTCCCTCGGCCTTCCATTTGGTCTTGGAAACTGACTAAAGGTTCCCAGCAGAACGCAGAAGTCCCGCCACATGCAGGAGAGCGCATTGCTTTGTTTTTGTCTCTTTCCTTTCCCAGTTCATTGGGGGGTTTTAAATCAGATCCCACTTCCCCTCTGCTTCCGAGGACAGGAGGACACACGGACAGGAGGACATAGGCATTCCTCCCGGCTGGAAAAATGGGAAGGAATGGAATCTCGGTAGGGTTTGGGACATCCCAGCTCCCCAGAGGGGACCTCTCTGCACCCAGGCCCTGGATTTATTTAGGAGGAGGGAGAACGGGAGGAAGAGAAAGGGCTCCGCTCCTACCTGTGCTGGATCGGGCCTTGGGCCTCGACTTGCATCCGAAGCCGGTGGGGGAGCCGCCCAGCAGGCTGCTGGGGGGGAAGAGTCCGGAGCTGTACTCGGGCACGTAGGGCGGGTAGGTGGTGATGGGGTGGTGGGCCGACGAGGAGGCCCCCCCCAGGGTGGTCATGCTGCCGCGGGAGTGCGACGACTCCAGCTTCATGCTGTCGGGCAGCGGCACCTGGTACTTGAGGCACTCTTTCTCGTCCTGCCGGCCCGAGCCGGCCGAGCCCGGGGTGGACAGCGATGGGTCCGGGGAGACGTCCTTGGGCGGGGTGGGCGGGAAGGTGAAGAGGTGCGGGCTGGCGTGGCCCCCCGACAGGGAGGAGGACGAGGCCGGGGGGTAGACGGAGAGGGGCCCCGGGGAGCCGTGGTGGATGGACGTCTTGGAGAAGGGGCTGAGGTTCCAGGGCGAAGCGGTGTGGTGGCCGCCCAGGGCTTTGCCGCCATCCAGCCAGGGCAGGGATCCGTGCAGCAGGGGCGGGCGGCACACCTGGCTCCCTGCAGCGGTGGGGAAGGGACAGGAGAGAGGAGGAGGGTGAGGGTGGTCCTGGGAGGCCCCCAGACAAGCCTGGGGACTCTCCCCCTCAGGCCCCAGCCTCCCTGTCAGCAAAAGCCCAAGCACAGGCCCATTCTCTAACCCAAGAGGTCCCAGGAGAACCCAGCCACACACCTGGGGGCAAGAGGCAGGGGAAGACTCCGTCCACCCCTCTCCCCCACAGGGATGATCTCTCACAGCCAGCAGAATGAAGGGCCTGCGCCTGACACCCGAGAGGGGCTGCGCCGGAGTGGAGAAGGGCCCCTCGGCCTCTTTGGCCTGTCCAGATACACCGTCTAAATCACATTCCCTGAGGTCTCTCTCTAGAGCCTCACTTGATTTATTGGTTGCCTTCAATGGCCCAGAATCCCCCGGCCCAGACTTAATCCCAGCCAGCCTGTTAAGAGGGTCAGCTGCAAACGATGAGGCCTGAAGGATGGAGCCGGGCCACACAGCCGCTCAGCACCCCAGAGAGGCCCAGCTTCCCACCCCACGCCTGCCTGCCACTCGCTGGCAGGAAGGAGAGGCCTTGGGAAAGAAGACAGAGAAGCTTCTAGTTCCCAGAAACCTAACGCAGGTTTCTCAGAATCTGCAAGGCTGCTTCCAAAAGGCCTGAAATGGGATCTGCAAGGAAATGTTTAGCTGCTCGGGCTGTTGAAGCAAGTTTCCAAGGCTAGACTCTGGGGTGGCAGTTTTCACCTGCTTTTCTCACCCTCCCAAATGGTACAGGAGAAGCAAATAAAATAAGTCCCGCATGCCCTCAAAGCTGTGATTCCACCGGTGTGATATGTGAATTTCCACCTGAGTCCCTGAGACGTAAAATTCCAGTTGATGTGTATATTTTAAACCCAGGATGACTCATACCAAGCCTATTTAGCTTTCATTTAAAATACACAATTTTAAGGTAGCCATAACTCACACAGGTCTACACGCTGAGAGGAGAACATTTAAACTGCAAGTGCAAATCCACACACGTATTGATCTTCTAATCCAGCAGTACCTGCCTCAGAATTTGACATTTTCTTCCACCATTAAGAACAATACTGAAACTAAAATCTTAAGAGAGAGGAAGGGGAGGAGAGTTCAGGGGGAAGGAGGGTTCTCTGAACACCAAGGGTCAAGATTCGTATTATGCAGGAAGTAGCATAGTAAATAATATTAAGTCTGCATCTGCCGCATTTCCACTCAACTGCTGATCTGCGCAGAACGTGGGCAAAGAGCGCCCCATCCGCAGAAACGATTGTTTAAACCTGGCGACTGCAGGGCAGAGGACGCCTGCTGCCGGAGGGGCTATGTCATCGGCGCCAAAGCAGCCTCTGAGTACAGGGACCAGGGCAGACCTCGGTCTGGCCGGCCTGAGAAAGCCTCACGTTTTCTCTGCCCCAATTTTTGCTCCTATTTCTTCCTCAGGAACAAAACTTACAGCTGGAAAGTGTTAGATCTTTTTTCCCCCAACTGTACTGGTCTGGTTTTTTTTCTTACATTTCAGAACTCTCCTAAACTCAAGGTGAAAGGGAAAAAGGGGGGTGTCACCAGAACACTGGTATCGCTCCTACTGGAACCCTGGTGTATCCTAAATCTCATGCGGGAGCCTAACGCACTGCTGTAGGCCCGAGGCAGAGCAAGGCAAGAATTGCAGGCAATGAGGCAAAAGACGCAGGAAAATTCTGTGCAGCCGGGAATCTAGGAAACCTCGGGTCTCTCAAGACATTGATCTTCCCTCCCACCCCCAAAACCCCTCCAAGCATCAGAATTCCATTCCCGAAGCCAAGAGATAGGAGACCCGTCTAAAAACCAGATGCACTAGCTTTGGGAAAAGGTCAAACAGAAAGGTGTGAATAAATACGTCTCTGGGGCCTTTCCGAAAATGTGTCTGGAGAAGTAAATTGAGGACGTCGGGCAGAAGCCCACCTAGAAGAGCTGGCGGGTATCAGGGAGCGAAGCTCTTTGCAGAGCCGAGTTCCAGTCCGGCTTGGCGGGCGCCGGCTGCCGGGCCCGGGCGCCTAGGCCGGCGGAGGCAGAGACTTGGCGCCCCGCGCCGGGGACCTCGCGGGCCCCCGAACCTGCGGCCACCGCGCGGGGACAGGGGGCTGCGGTTTGGCGCCCGCCAGGTGAGCCAGGCCCCAGGGACAGCGCCGGGGAGAGGCGGCTGCTGCGACTCTTTTTCAAAACACATCTCACGACCAAAGAGACGGCTTCCTCGCCCATTTCCGGGGCCCAGTTTTTTTGGTAAATGAACCAGTAGCTGCAGCTGGGGCCTTTCGCCCGGCTTCCCCCTCCCGGCCCCGGTCCCTCCCTGCCTCCCCGACCCCGGAGAGCGGGCGCGGCTGGCGGGGTCCCTGCACCCCGGGGGGACTCACCGTGGTGGGCCGGGGGGTACCTCTGCACCGTGGCTCTGACCGAGTTTCCGTAGTAGGACGGGACGTGGTTGCCTTGACCGTCGATGTTAAAAAGTACATCCACCTCCTCGGGCAGCGGGTACTGCGCCGGGTCCATGTAGGAGTGGCCGAGGCCCGGGTGGTGCGTGTCCGGGTGCTGCCCGTTGAGCACCGCGGGGTGGTGGTGGCTCACCCAGCGCGGCTGGTCCGCCGTCACCTCCATGGCCTCGGCTGCGCTCGCGCCCTCTCGCCGGGCCCGGCACCCGCGCGCGGAGAGGGAGGGCGGTCGGCCTGGGAGGTCGGGGGGCTCCTGCCGTCGGAGGGCCGGGGGTCGCTTAATGATTCGCTCTCAGTGGGGGAATGGGAAGGTTGGGAAGGAAAGGTGAGCGAACCAGAGGGCTTTGAAAAAATCCTTGAGGGGTGGTTTAGCAAAGAGAAGAAAGGGAAGGGAAAAAATCCAAAAAACCAGGCACGACAGGATAACAGGGGCCAAGCTGTAAAAGGGGGCGAGGACTCTGCAATCCTGCGAGGGAGGCTCCTGTGCACCGGGCTCCTCCGCGGCTCCGAGGCTGAGTCTCCCCTCGGGTCACCTGCAAGGGAGAGAAGGAGACCTGGATGAGCCGGTAGCTACTTTAGCACCCGAGTTTCTGGAGGGGCACCACGGCCCCGCGCCGCCCGCCCGGCCCTGCGCACCCGGGACACGCACGCGCGCGCGGGGCGGCGACCGCAGAGGAAGCGAGACTCCCAGGGACACCCCAGCGACCCGGCTCCCGGGAGCCCCGGGCCGACCGAGCGGTCACAACGAGGAGGACAAGTCTCTCCCTCGGGGACACCGGTCCCGGGACCTTCCTTCCAGCCTCTACAAGACCTCCAAAAGAGGAGAGTCGCGGTTTTATACAAATTTTAAAGTCCTCCCAAGTGAAAGGGGGGGGGATCAAACTTAAAAAAAAAAGAAGAGTCACCAGTACCAACCTGAGCAGCGAGGAGCAGAGAGGAGGAGGAGGAGGAGGAGGCGTATGACCTGCTCGGTCAGATTGCCTGGCTCGCTCTGTCTCGCGCTCTCTCCGTCTCTCTCTTTTCCTCTCTCTGTCTCTCTCTCTCCCTCTCTCAGTATTTTTTTTTTTACAGGGAATGCATTCTTTCTGAAAGTATCAAGACGGCGCCAGGCAGCTCAGTGTTCGCAGACAGCTGTGGCGCGACGCAACTTAAGGAGGTTCTAGTGTCATCGCGCCGAGGGGGAGGAGCCTGGCGCTGGCGAGGAGGGGACAGGATCCCCAGCACAAGGAAACTGCAACCCAAACCCGCTCCGGGACTTCTCCCCCCACCCCCCCGCACGCCCCCGCCCCTCCGCCCGCCCCTCCACTGACCGGAAAGGGGCGCCGCGGAGGGCGGCCGCCGGCGCAGGGGCGGCGGGCAGGGTGGGCGCGGCCCGCGGGGCCGGGGGCAGAGGGGCGGGCGCGAGCGAATTCGCGCTCTGGCCCTTTAAATGTGGCTCCTGCTCCTGCCGATTCATTTGGGCCGGGAGATCGCCGCGTCCTGGAGAGACCCGCCTGCCCCATTCATAAAGTTAACTTGCACAGGCAGACTTTTCTTTTGCAGACTTTTTTTTTTTTAACGCGCAAACATTTTTTATGATTAAATTATCCAACTCAGGGTATTGGGGAGAGTTTATCGATGTTGGGGCTTATGTGCATGGAAAACTGATCAGGGGAAAAAAAGCAGTAATGTCAAGGGATTTGGGGATTTGCCTCTCGGGCCAATTTCCTACGAGGCTGAGGAACCTGGCAAAGGGAGTGCGTCCAGGAGTGGCGCGCCCGTGTGACTCTTGTCGTCCTTGTCACTATTTTCCCGAGCCTTTTGCGTTCTCGAGCCTCTCGAATAAACATGCATCTGCTATTGCAGCTCTGCCCTTCCCGGCCTAATATCTGCAATCAGTGTTTGCCTTTGGAGGGAACAGCAGCGAGGGGACCGAGGAGACACCGACCCTATCTCGCTCCCGAGTGCACTCAGGGTGGGTGGAAAGAAAGAACTCGGTCTCCACTCAGTGACCGAACTTCCCCCTCCGCCCCGCCCGGAGTCCCACTCACTCGGGCTCCAGGCCCCTCTGCCCCGGCTGGGCAAGCCAGCCCCCTTCCCCGGTCCCAGCTCCGGCCGCCGGGCAGCCGCTGCTGCGGGGTCCGGAGCTGGTCTCCGCGCGGTGGGCGGCTGCGGGAGGAGGGAGCGCGGCTCCGGGACAGCCCTGCGAGGGGCGGGGCCGGCGCGGGCGGGCGGGGCCGAGGAGGGCCAATCAGCGGGCGAGGCTTCGCCCGGGCCGCGATTGGCCCGCCCCGCTCCAACCTGCGCGGCCCCGCTCGGTCCTTGGAGCGGCTGCCTCCCCTAGCGGCGCCCAGGCTGCTGCAGCCGCGGGCCCCCAAACGCGGCCCGGGCGCGCAGGGGTCAGGCGGGAACAGAAGACTGTTCCAGGTCCACCCCCTGCTCACTGCAGGCCAACGTGGGAGAGGAGGAGTGCGGGTCCTCCCGCAGGCCATCCCACCCACGGAGCCGAGAGCCTGATTTGGGGTTTTATGTGAAGACATTGTTCCCTCACTCCCTCCTCCACCCCATGCAATCAATTCCCTACAAACACAAAAACTCCAGATAGAAGGAGCCGTCCCTAAAAGTAAGTTCTGAAGGATTCCTTTCATGCGGGGAGGAAAAAACAATATTGAGCTTCCACTTGGTGTGGGGGGACGTCTTCTTTTAAAACACAATCCTTGCAGAAACGCGAATAAAATGTATTTGAGAGTAGTGGAAACCTGGGTCCTCCCGGTCCTGGATTTGGAGCTTCTCTTGAGTCCGCACCTTCTTCTATCTGATATTTGTTTTGAAATCAAGGTTGGATTTCTAGAATTTCCAACAGGAAGAAAACTCTTAAATAAATAATAATAATAATAAACCCTCCCTGCACGTTTCTCCCGAGCCCACTTGGCCTCCCGCGCTACTCCGGCCCATAAAGGAGCATCGATTTCCCCTCTGACCACTCCTCTCTCCGGGCCAGCCAAGCTCTCCTCCCGCTCACGGCGCTCTCCAAACCTTTTAATTATTTAAAATGTTGCTAACATTCACCGGAAACCACTCTATAAACAAGGACGAACGAACGCGCACGCACTTTTGCTAAAAGGCCCGGGATTAAGATTAAGGATGGAAGCCGGGGAAAAAAAAAAAGTGCTTCTTTGCGCGCCCATGGAGATGTGGACACGTCAAGCAGCCCCCAGTTCACGGCCACGCGGGAAACCTCCGCGCCGTCCCCGGGGTCCTCTGCGCCCAGACCCAGCAGCCGGGGAAGGGGCGAAAGAGACCCGTCCTCGGGACAGAAAAGCTCCTGACGCCGGGTCTTGCAAATGTTAACTTCTGAGGCTAAAAAACGATTTTAAAAGACAGAAAGAAACTGTGTGCGAGGAGGAGGCCTTCCGGTGTGGGGAGGCCTCTCTGGTAACTGTGGTCCGGGTGGGGGATTATTCGTTTTAATTCTCTCGCCGGCACCGAGTCGGAACTGCACTGCGCTGGAGAAGGGCATCCCCCCCACCGCGCCCCACCTTGGGGAAAGAAAAGATCTCGAAGGCCCCTCTAGGTCTGGGTGGCTGCAGGCTGGCAGAGAGGGGTGGGGGGCCTGGGGCTGGATGCCCCGGGTAATGGAGCCAGCCTGTAGGGGGTATTTAACATTTAATTCCCAGCCGGTCCGCCCCTGTTCCCGGACTGACAGTGGGTAATTGGGAAAGAGGACGTTGGTCTTTTGATGGCCCGCGCCGGCCAGTCTCGCCGACGCCACACTGGGTTTGACGTCACGGGCCCAGCCCCAGAGCGGGCAGCACAGAGCAAGGGGGAGGGAAAAGCAGGGGAGGGGGATGCCGAGGAGGGAGGGCCGAGGTCGGCCTCGGGACCCACGGGGAAGGAAGGGGGAAGGGAGCCAGGCCGGAGAGGCTGCGGCGCGTGGCCCGAGGCGGAGAGCCGGGCTGCGGGGGTCCGGGCCAGACCAGGCGCCGGCCTGACCCGCCTCGCCGGCAAATGCAGGCCGGGCTTCCTCTTCCCAGGGCGGCGGGGGAGGGGAGGGGGCTTGTGGCCGGGGGGAAGGGGGGAAGGTGGTCCCGAGTCTCCCTTAGCCACGGCCACAGAGCCGATCCAGGTCTCCTGCGGATGCGCCTCTGCGCCCTCCCGCAGAGCCGACGCGCCCCCGCCCCAGGTACCGGGCCCGGCCTGGTCTGGCGAGTCCCCCTCCTCCCCGGGAGGAGCCGACTGAGCTCGGGTGGAGGAAAACGAGGAGGCGACCAAGGAGGATGCTGAGCCGCCGCCGCCGCCGCAGGGTTCCCGGCTCCTGCAGGGCGCGAGGCCTCCCTCACCAGGGTAAGCGGCTGGCGAGCGGCCTGGACGCCTGGGACCCCGGGGGCAAGCATCCCGGAGCCGAGAAGGCGACGGCCTGGCCACCGCCCCCGGAGCGGCTGGGTCCCAGTGCGGTGCGTGAGTCGGCGGCAGCCAGTTGGCCCGTCTGAAACCTCAGGCCTCGAGGCGGCCGCTTTAGGCGTCAAGTTGAGCGGGGTATGTGTGTCCTCTTGGGGAAAGGGCGAGACATGGAGTCCGACTCTTGTCTCCTCGGCTGGGGTAAGCTGGGACCCACATACCCACCCCCCAAACACACGCCATGTGCAGGTCCCTCCCACACGCCCTCCCGGGGGCGCAGAGACCCTGTCCCGGTGGAAGTGGGGAACCCAGTCCCGCGCAGAAACCGGAGGCCGTGGCGCCCAGAGGCGGACTGGGTCCCCCGGGCTCAGCCCTAGGGTCGCGGACCCAGAGAGCCCAGATCTGCGCAGCCAGCGTCACCCCCCGGAGCCAGGCGACGGGCGCGTCCAGGCGAGCTCCGCGGGGCCGAGGTGCGGGCAGGAGCGGCCCGAGGCACCCGCGCGCTGCGGGCCGAGCGAAACCGGCACAGCGGAGCCCCAGGGTCGAAGTGCTAAAGTTACTAATCCCGCGCAGGGGGAGCAAGCGTGCCTCGGGCCGCCCGGGGCGGTCATTCGAGCGTGTTTACTTAAAGACTTTGCAAGCCGAGCGCGCGCGAAATAGTCGGATTTCCAGCGAGGCAGCAAATATTTGCAGGCGGCAGAAAGAAGCGGAGCCGGGCCGCGCCGCCGCGTCCCTCCCCCCGGAGCCGCGGCGCCGGCCTGGGCGGACCCGGCCGCGCCGTTAAAGACAGAAAAGAAGCCGGGAACCTGCGGGGCTGGGGGCGGGGAGCCACACCGAGGGCCAGAAACTGGAGCTCGGCCCCAGGCCCTGGCGAGCCGGGGCTGGGGGAGGAGAAATCCCTTCCCATTCCAGCCGGTTAATCTTCCCGGGCTGCGATCGGTCAATAAAAACGGTGTGAAGCGGCCGCTGTCGCTGTGCGTCTGGGGAAGCAGTGGAGGCCGGAGGTGTCGAGGCCGGCGCCGGCGCCCGGTTCGCGGCCCCACAGTCTGCAAGCCTCGGGCCGGGAGCGGAGCGCAGGCTCCGCGGGGCCTTTAATTGGGTGTCTCCATTTTAATAGTGGCCATTGTTGGAGCAATTAGCGAGAGACAATAACCGCCAAGAGGCGTTTAATTCGATTCCGCGCGCCGGATGCAGTCTGGACCGGGGCGCTCAGGAATAGTGGCCGAGGCTGCCCGAGAGGGAAGGTCTGGTTGGGGAGGCGCTGGCTCCTTCCCTCGCTCGATTTGTCTTCGGTGTGGGAATTATTCAGGGCGACTGGGGCAAGACGAAACCGGGGCCAGGACGACCTGAGCCAGGCCAGGACGGGAAATGCGTCCCCGGCTTCGCTAGCCCGGGCAGGGCGCCCCCGGGACGCGCCCGGAGCTGCGGCCGCTGTGCTGGTCCCCAACGCCTGTTGGAGAAAAGACGAAGGAGAGAGACGTGGAAACCGGCCTCTTTCCTCCGTAGCCCCGGGTCCCCACCTCGGTCACCCGAACCACGTCCAGATTTCCTTCCCTAGGGTGGGAGGAGGGGCAAAGGAGAGACCCCGGTTTGTGGCGCGCACACACCTCCCTCTCCGCCCAAGCCAGCCTCGCTGCCCCCTCCTCCGCCGGGCCCCGGATTAGGTTACCCTGGCCGGGCGAGGATTTTTACTGGATACGAGACTAGCACAGGTAAAGCTGTATAAACAG